TTGGGTGCGTGGCAGAATGACGTCACGACATGTAGTTATGAGATTTAGAAGTAATCAGCAAGAAATTTGTTAATTTTGCGAAAAAAATACATGTAGGATAACGAAATCGAGTCCTAATGTAGCAGATGTTCGTCTCGTTGGTGGCTGGCTACAGCATGTGTGAAAATCATAATTACTGTACTTTAAGTCAGACTCTGGAGGAAAAAAAAAATTATATGTTGTAGAACTGATTTTTCTAAGACAGAAAAAGGTTGTTTGACGAAAAACTCTGAATGAGATACAGATTTTTGAATATTTAAAAACTGGGGAAAAATGGGCGCAACCGCCCATTTTTACACCCTATTCCCCAGTTTTAAATATTCAAAAATCTGAATATCATTCACCGTTGCTCAGTTTTTGATCAAACTACTTTATTTCTGTCTTAAAAAAATCAGTTCTACAACATATCAACATTTTTTTTCCCTCCGGAGCCTGACTTTAAAATACTTTCAGAGATATTTGGTGGACAGCCAAAAACACAAAACGTTATCTTAGTAATATGGATATAACAATGTTATTTTTAAAGATTTAAAAAAAAAATTATTTGGTTTTGTTAGTCAATGTTTATTATGCATATAATCTTTAGTTTCCACACATTTGTATTCCTTAAGATTTTTAATCTTTAAGAATAGTAATTTGTACTTGAATGAGATTATTAGAAATAATATAACAATGTTAAATTTATAATTTTATATTGAGGTTTGTTAGTCAATGCTTATTATGCATAATCTATTTTCATACTTTTTATAATCTTTCAATTTTTAATCTTAAGGAATACCGTAGTAATTTGTATTTGAATGAGATTATTAGAAATAATATGACAATGTTAAAATTATTTTGAGTCAATTTTGCATATAATCTTTAAGTTTTCTTATTTTTTGTATTCGATGAGATTTTTACTCTTTAGGAATAGTAATTTGTATTTGAATGAAATTGTGTGGTTTCAGTCTGGTTAAAGTTTTTTTTTTCTTAATAGCAATAAATAAAAACCTACATTAATAATCATGGTGAGTATAGTTGTCAATAATGTAACCTGAGCATTGCAAAATAATAGAAAACTTAATACTCTTGGAGTATTATTTCACTTTTTGGTTTGTTTGTTTGTTTTTTGTTTTTTTTACTTTAAATGATAATGATGATGATGATGATGATGAACTTCCTTTCTACAAAACTATAAATTAAAAAATCGACGAGAACTTCTCAGGTCATAAACAGAGGAAACCAGCTTTTTGTGAAATGGGGGCTGCTAGGTGGAATGGACTGGATTGGGTACTCTTAGGAACAATTTTCTTTTCTAAATACTTGGAAATGCAAGGTCTCTCTATTTAATTTAAAATTTCTTAGTTTGATGATGATAACAATGATGTTCATCCTAGCAAAACAAGCCCATGGTTAGGGGTGAAGGGCCAGACAAAATCAGCAGGTTCTTTGTGTCTTTTTCGGTAAGAATGTCTCTACATCTAGAACAAAAGAGAAATTAAAATGCAGAAATTTATGGTTGGATTTGTTTAGGCCCTGCAATAAATTAAGCAGATCTGTTCCTACGAAAGACTAATTTTACCAATTCTTTAATCTTGATAAACCTTTAACCCGAAATAGCCCAATTCCCAAAATTCATGAAGTTATCAATCGTAAGGTAAAGGTGAACTTTCTTCTCCCCAGCAATTTACGCTGCAGTGACATTTGTTGTTGTGCGCTTACAGGAAACCGGAAGTATTTTCCATGTGACAGGACGTAGATAAGACATTTTTTCGACGACTGTTTCAAAGTCTAGTGTAACTTGAGATTTAATTAAAAATGGGCTCAATTTTAACTGAACTTAAACTAACAAATGCGATTGCAACATTTTCATTCATTCATTCATTCTGTTTTTATTATCAAACTCATTTCAGTAAAACACCTGAATGGCGAGTAAGATTACAATATTATTAAAAGAAATTATAATTAGCAGAAAACCTAAAACACACACACACGATTTTAAAAATGATGATGATAACAATGATGATGATAGAAGAAGCATGACTTGAGTAATCCTAGCACAGCAAGTTTAGACCTGGGCCATGGACTGCTTACTAGAGCACTGTAGTCATCATTCAAGTGTGAAAGACCTACAAAATGACTAGTTTTGATGAACGAAATTGATAAACCAAGTTTGGATCTAAGCTGTTTGACATAAGGATGCCATATCAGCTTGTCGTCGAAAATAATACCAAGGTGCTTATGACTTGTGACTTGTTTAAGACTGTGGTTATTAAGATTTATATTAATAGTGTTATTATTTTTAAGCTATGAGGAGTGCCAATTAACATAGTTTCAGTTTTCTCCAGATTTAAAAGAAGTTTATTAGAAGAAAGCCATTTATGAAACTCAATTAGATCCTCATTAAGTTTCTGTTGAATACATTGGACAAATTTGTCAGAGACATATAAAATAGTGTCATCCGCATACATATCCACAGTGGAAAGTTTTAACGCAGATGGAAGGTCATTTATGAAAATTGTGAAGAGAAGAAGACCTAATATAGATCCCTGAGGAATACCGATATGAACATTTCGTAGTGATGAGCAAGAGAGTTGTTAATTTTTACTTGCTGAACCTTATTAGAAAGATAAGAATTAAACCATTTAATGACAGAAAGAGAAAATCCATTGAAATGAAATTTAAGAAGGAGTCTGTGCTGAACTAAATCAAAAGCTTTTTTAAGGTCAATAAAAACAGTTCCAGTAAGTTGGCCTTTGTCAATGTTGTGCAACCAATTGTCGTGAGTGAACTACTGTAAGAGTGGAGAATCCAGTTCTAAATCCAGATTGATGATTAGAAATAAGATTATTAATGGAAAGATAATCATATAATTGTGAATGAATGACTTTTTCAAGAATTCTAGAACAAAAGGGTAAAATTGAGATGGGCCGATAATTGTTAATAATAGATGTGTCACCATTTTTATGAAGTGAAATTACCTTTGCTCTCTTCCAATCACCGGGGAGGATGCTCTGAGTAAGTGACATACTACAAAAATGTGTGACGGCAGGGCAGATAATGTAGGCTACATTTTTAAAAAGCTTGCCACTGATATTGTCCAGACATTCATATGTAAAATTTCATTTAAAACAAAATCATTAGAAATCATCTGGAAAGAGAAATTAGAAGTACATTCAATAAATTGCAAGTAAGAGCATAAATCAAAATCACAATTAGGAGTATCGTTTGTAAGATGAGATCCAATTTCAGTAAAAAAAAAAGGTATTAAATGAGTCAGATAATTAAATAGCATCTTTTGATATATTTTTACCATTAATACAAATTAATGGGGGGGGGGGTTCAAGGGGTTCGGACGAACCCCTCTCTGTGAAGAAACGTAACAAAATACTACTGGTCCCGGCTTACAAAAGGCATGCTAACCTACCTAGGCATAGGTTGGCAGAACAGACAAACTAGGCTTAGCCCAACTAAGGATTCAATTAAATACAATTAAAAACACTGTTTTTGGCGCGACGTCATAATAATTTATGTACGAAAGTGTGTTCTTCAGGCCTATCGGTTCATCGATCTATAAGAAAGACTATGTATCCAACTACTCAATAGTGTTGGAATATAGGCCTAATAATGTACAGTGGCGGCTCTAGGATATATTTTCTGGGGCCGGGGGCTAAGTTGTCCGACAGGGGGGACTTGAGCTCGAAGGCTAGCTGGGAGAAGGGGTTGAGAGTGGTTCCCATTCACAAATGAGATTTTTTTAAAAAGAATATCAACCTCTAGATGGCCGAAAATGGCACTCTCAGACTGTGACAGACACGTGTTGGTTTGGTGTGGGCCTACTTTTATATGTTTTATGGTCTGACTGCCACGAGCTCTGTCCGGTGGGGGGGGGGGGGTTGACCTGTCCGGTGGGGGGCTTAAGCCCCCTGTCACCCCGCTGGCGCCGCCACTGATAATGTATTGACTTTATCTTTGATTTTCTTGTATGATATAGGCCTAAGACTGAGATAAAATCACCTGACCTTTTTTAAGAGGGGTAAAACCTTGAATTTTGAAGAAATTAAATGTCGTTAAAAGACACCTCAGAGGTCGGGAAAGCTCATTTCCGGCCATCTAGGAATCAAAATTTTCCCGGGGAGAACCCCTGGACCCCCCCCCCCCACTTTCTGTTTGGGATTTATTGGTTCATGTAAAAAGAATATGTATGCAATTATTCAATTTTTTACGTATACATACATAAGGCCTATTTACTGCAATAAGAATGAAAAACATTTACCCGACTGTTTTCGGGGGGGGGGGGGGGGGGGACAGACCCGGGATGCATAGTTCGGTTGGGTGGGGTATGCGTGTCTTTAGGACCTTAGTGGAGTGACGTCAATACCCATTAGTGCCTAGACTAGTACTGACAGTATACATTATTTTTTTATTTTTATTTTGTTATCATGTTTTAATGTCACGCAGATTTTGCCCCATGATGGCATATTCAGAAATAGAATTGATATATATATATATATATATATATATATAATTATTTATATATATATATATATATATATTATATACTAGTATAAAAAATATATGTATGTATGTTTACTATTATATACAGTATCTATAATAGAGTTGTATTTAAAGTCATAGTGTGTATACTGTAGGACCAATGTCAATGTCTCTTCCGAAAGATGGTGCAACATATAACTATGGAGGTATTATACCTCTACCATATAACTATAAACATGAATACACATTAGTTTCATTATAAAAAAAAAAAGAATTATAAATACTGTATAATACTCAATCATGGTGTGTATTTGAATAAAAAAAATGATAATAATGTAATTTTTTATGGGCATAAAATTAATGAGCATAGAATTATAAATATGATATAATGATAATAATAGTAATTATAATAATTATGATGATAATAATAATAATAGTATCTTTAAAATAAATGAATCACATAATACACAAAATGTACAAAAAGCATTTAGTATAGCAGTCAAATTTTATTCAAAACATTACATTACATGCTCAAAACAAATATATGACAAATTATTTAGAACATATTTCTATCTTTTATAATTTTGTCATTTACTCAAAAAACTTGTTTTACATTCAACTCTGCAATTACCCAATTCAAAGCAACTGAGAATATATCCGGGTAGTCTAGTGGGTGACAATACTTTTAAAAAATTGCATAAAAATATTTTGTAATATAGACGGCATACTCCACCCTATAAGTGGCGCTCATGGTGCTTTGTGCACTAAAGATGTATTGTCCCTTGAAAATGACAAAAAAAGATCATAGAAAATAATTTTGAAATTAACTTGCTCATTTTGAGCAAAAGATCATATAATGATCTCAGACCCCACTGATTTTTTTGCCTAAGTCTTTTATTATATCAATTGTTACCAATAAATTTATACCCCATTTCTTAAAATGATTAAACTTCGAATGTAATCATTTTTACCGACTTCATATTTTTTGCAATGCTGTCCCAGCAAGAGATCATATAATGATCTCTGACCCACTGATTTGTTTGCCCTAAGTCTTATTATTATATCAATTGTTACCAATAAGTTATACCCCATTTCTTAAAATGATTAAACTTCGAATGTAATCATCTATACCAACTTTATATTTTTTGTAATGCTGTCCCAGTTTCAGCATGTAAAAATCATCAAATTGATTAAACTATTGTAATTTAGTTGCATTCTAAGCCTAAAAATGATTGAACTACTTTTCTTTGCATTTTTAAGATACAGCATTTCATATTTGAAAGGTAAAGGTAGGAGAATAACCCATAACTTGCAGCGTCATTGTGCTGAATTGCGTATGGGCGTTCACATCATTCTACAACGACAGGGGCTGAAATGAACCATCACATCGGTAACCCCCTACTCTTCAAAAAGATGCAATGGGTTCTTTAAAGTGCAAACCAGCCAGATGTATACATTAGACCTCCATTTTAAGTCCTTAACCGAGAAGACTTGGTTCTACCAACCGAACCACGGCTGGAACCAGTGCCAATGTAGCTAGAGGCACACCTGCCTTACCGCTCGGCCACTCGAATCACCACAGAAACTGGTGTCGTGTGAATATACAAAAGATGATGAAAACAGGATTAAACAGGGACCGTCAGATATAAAGGGATGGCACTCATCCTCATGTTAATGGTCACTGGTCACTGCTTCTTGAAGGTTATTGTCAATAGTATTTGTCACATTACTCATAGCCTCTTGTTTCTAGAAGGAAATGTTAACAAATGCATATTATATCTAATATTCTGCAACAACTTTAGATTCTGATTTAGAAATGGGGATTTTTAGTAATAATTTGTGGAGAAAATTTTCCATTATAATAGAAATACATGTATTCTGAGTAATTTGAGAACAAATTAAACTCTCCTGCACGAATACTAACAGAGTTAAGGCCTGTTTATACTTCAACGATAATGATAATGATAAAAAAGCTAAAAAGCGATTGTTCATATGGAAAACAAAAGAAATAAGAGAAATTTTTACACTAGGACGATTCGTTAACGGTTTATCGTATATACGATAACAAAATATTTTAACAAATCAAATGATGTCATAATCATGGAAAAACTATAAAATCGTTACTACTACAGTACTACGATTTTAATGTTTTTCCATGATTATGATGTCATCTGATTTGATTTGTCAAAATATGTTGTTATCGCAAAACTGATAAATCGTTATCGAATCGTAGTGTAAAAACTTCTCTTATTTCTTTTATTTTCTATATGAACAATTGCTTTTTAGCATTTTTATCGTTATCGTTATCATTGAAGTGTAAACAGGCCTTTATGGAGTTTTCCTAATTTTGCAAAAATTTTACCAAAACCGGCATTTTTGAAGTTAAATCAATTACATTATATGCACAGAGTAATGAAATAAAAAAAAATACTTGTTGTGCTTGATTATTGTCACTTTAGCTATCATTTGCCACCATTGAATATAAAGTGGAAACATTTAATGATTTGGAAAACAAGAAAATTATTTAAAAAAGTGTGCTATTTTGCAATATTTTTTTATGGTATTTTTGGGGGATGTTCAGTGAACAGAAATATGACCCTTCCAAAGATATTGGTACCAAAATGAACTCTCTATGACTAATAGTAACAAAATACAGAGTGTCAGTATTTTTTCCCAAAAATGGATCCTTTTGCATAAAACCGGCCATTTTGGACCTGGGGACCCAATTTTATGATTGCTAGATGGCCAAAATGGATGACTAAAGGTATCAGGAGAATGAAAAAAGAGGTCTATATAAATCATAGAGTATGTACACATGGACGATATTTAGCTGTTGGACTATGTGGTTTTCTTCAAAAAATGGCTTCCTAAAATGACATTAATTAACCCACCTGTGACTTGCTACCTCTTTTACTTTTCCTTGGTTTCTTCATACTTGAAGGTGAAAGTTGATGATCAGGAGTAGTTTGACATGTTTTTGCATCACCACGACGAAGTTTACTTTGGGAAATAAAAAATGAAGAGAATAATATTCTATATACTATAATTACAAAATAATGAATGTGAAAATCAAGAATATCGATATTAGCCATTCAGTTTGGTACATCATTTTATTGACAATGAATTGTTTATTAAATAAATGATAAATAAAATTAAAACAAAGTTATTATAAAACACATTTCCACTATTACCCAATAAATAATTAAACATTTATTTTGTAATTTAATGTGCTTATGTGTACAAACAGGAAAGATAACAGAATTCTTTGAAAAAACAAATATTGAAATCTTCTACATAATGAATTGAATTGCTGAGCGGTTAAGGCAGGGGCGCCGACAGCCATCCTATGGCAGAACAACGCAACTGCTTATATATTTTTAAGTTATGTTGTTTTGCCTTGGAACGGCCACGCAATGTACAGCCATACTATTGATGCTGGTGCGAACGGTACACTTATCTATAATTCTGGTGGTGGAACAAGTCTTCTTGGATAAGGACTATAAACAGTAGGCCCTGAGTACACAATTTGGCTCATGTGCACTTGAATACTGTAGTACACCTTTTGAGATGAGTAGGGAGTTACCCCAATGTACTGGTTCATACAGCTCTGTTGTAGACAGATGAGAGATAAACTGGTACCTGTTTACCAGGTAGCTCAGACACAAGAGACCCTTAGGAGAGAAGCAAGTTATTGTATGAGCTTGTTCACACCTTGCGCGCTCTGAGACTTCGGTATAAAGCCCTATATAAATCCAACTACATTACATTACATAGGAATTAAACTATTAACTAGTTCTCAATGATTATTAACTAGAGTACCTGTTTAATGAAGGTTCCTTGTAACTAACAACACCTCCATTTCGGCGACTTGATCGTTGTCTTGGCAACACAGCTCCATCTGCTTCAATTGACGGTTGACAATCAACCTTAAAAAGCAAAATGCTATCAAATTAAATTTGAAGGTTCTGGTTCAGGAGTACCACTGGCCACATCTAGTAATAAAGGGCCTAAAGATGGGTAGAATGCAGGACAGCTTAAGCTTGTGTCAGCTGAAATGGTACCAACTGAATACCACCCAAAATCAGTAGACAAAGTTTATTATTTATTTTTAATTCCAAATTTCAAGGCAGTGGCAGGTGTAATAAAAATAAAGAAAAACTTATTTGTTTCTGAAATTTCCATTTTTTTTTATGGCAGCAGGGCACTAATTGGCCAAAAGTAAAATTTCATTTTTATTCGAAATTATAATTATTGGTGGACGGCGGGTTCGCTAAACAAGTAAAAAAAATCTTGTCTTATGTGACAAATCTGTGATATGACTGTATATGGGCATAATGATGTCATTATGGGGCAATCACATGAAATTTATGTGTACAGAGCACACTAACTAACCTGCTCCACTGGTTGTGGTTTGTTGGCAGAGGCTACTGCAGTTGTTATGTCATCAATTTTACACTTATCCTCATTCTTTACTTGACCTACTGACTTCTGACCCCTTGCCTTGCTCTTGGATTTCGTTTCAGGAGTTTTCTTCTGTTTAGGAGTTGGTTGATCAGTAACTTCAGGAACACTGTCATCAAATTCTTCATGAACTTTAGCCTTTTGCTTTGAACTTTTCTTCTTGTCTTTCTTTTTGTTGTTTGGAGTTCTTTTATGCTCTTTGGTGTTCGCTACTAGGTTAAAATGTGATGCAATGCAGTAATAAATTTTGAGAAAAATATATCAATTATTATTATTATTTATTCAAGTAAAAGATATAAAAAATTCCAATAAAATTACAAATAATCTAGATACTAGCTGCCTGGTAGCTTTGAGTTACTGGTTGTGGTTCATTGGAAGATGTTACTGTGGTTTTTCTACCCGGTATGTAGGTTTGAAAACCCATTACTGTATAATGAATACTGGATAGATATCTATCCAATTATAACAAGCAAGTTATGGTGTCTTTTGTATTTTAGCACAATTTTAAGATTGACAGTATTTGATATATTGTGCCACATGCCTCCAGTGTTTAAAAATAACATTTTTGACATTACCTGGACTGTTTTCCTTGTCGGTCATTTTTTTAGAAGTAGATTTGCCTTTCTTCTGATTCCCATCAACTGGAACCACACAATCTTGTTTGCCGTGTGATTCTTCATCAGAATCTGGGACAGAGCTCACAACCCTTTTCTTCCGGCTCTTCTTCATATGAGTATCGGGAATAATGGTGATCTCAGGTTCCACATCAGAATCCAGAGCTACACTATCTAATTTTTTCGACCCTGATGGTCTCCTCTTGGGTGTTTCTTCTGTAATTTCTATAGATTGGGAGTCGTCCTTTTTCATTTTGCTTTTCATATGAAATGTTACTCTTCTGGATGCACTCTTTGATTTGCTTGAGGGTATCCTAGTTGTTTTCTCTTTTACAACTGTCTTTGGGGTATCTGAAGAACTATCACATGTTATGTCTGCTGTACAGGAAACTTGATTGCTGATTTCTATGGAATTATTGTCTTTATCCTTAGCCTTGTCTTTATCCTTGGTCAAATTAAATGTTTTGCGTTTCTTCTCTGGTTTCTTAGATGTCTTGGGTGTCTTCTGTGAATTTGCATTGTTCTTTTCATCTAGATTCGAAATACTGTCAACGTTATTCTTTTTCCCATGATCATCTTGAGAGTTTGAGGTCACCACAGCTTTAGGCTGGTGGTCTTTGACTGATCTCTTTTTTTCTTGTGGTAACTTATTTATCTTGGATGTCAAAGGAGAATTCTTCTGGTGTTCGCTGTCACTGTCACTGAGTACGTTCTGTGACATTTTGGTTTTTGCAATAAGGAATGTACCTCTACGCAATGTTTGACGTGATGTTGACTTTTTCTTTTCAGGATTGTCGGTTGCATTTTCACTGGAGAATTTCTTTGATGACTTGCTTGGATTTGTTTTTTCTTCAGGTTTGTCATTTGCATTTTCAAAAGTAAGGTTCCTCAAGGACTCACTTGAATCCTTTTTGTTTTCAGGTTTGTCACTTGTATTTTCAATGGTAAAGTTCTTAGATGACCTGCTTGGATTTGTTTTTTCTTCAGGTTTGTCACTGGTATTTCCAACACTTGAATCCTTTTTCTTTTCAGGTTTCTCACCTGCAATTTCAATGATGACATTCTTTGACAGCTGACTTGGATTTTTTTCATTTTCAAGCTTGTCATTTGTATTTTCAACAGCGAGGTTCTTTGATGGTTGACTAGAATTCCTTCTGTTTTCAGGTTTGTCACTTGCATGTTCAACAGTGAGGTTACTTTTAAGCCGCCCTGGATTTCTTCCGTTTTCAGGTTTGCTGCTTGCATTTTCACCAATGCGGTTCTTTGACAGCCTACTTTGATTCTTTTTGACTTCAGGTTCGTCATTGGTATTTTCTACGGTGAGGATCTTCGACAGCCTACTTGGACTGGGATGTGAAAAGTACTCACCAGCACTAATATCGAATACACTACTTGGCTTTTTTGAATCTTTTTTAGGGATCTTGGATTTTGGTTTTCTTTTCCTACACTTTTTAAGTGCTGTAGTTTGTGATTTTTGTTCGTTACATTGAAAATCATTCTTTGTGTCACTCTCTGACTCTGATGTTATTCCCTCTTTTGCAATCTTAGTTTTTGTTCTATGTTTGCTGGAGGCTATGCCTTGTTCATCACTAACATGTTCAGCACCATTTCCAGTGTTTTTCTTCAACATACCATGAGCATCCCTATCACTTTGACCAATAGATGCTGTCGTCAGCTTATGGTCATTAGCTTCCTTAATGTTTTTTTGTTTTTTTGTTCTATCAAAATGTTGTAGTGCATTTAGGACAATTGATGCATTCAGAGTCCCAGTAAGTTCCATTTCCTCACCAATTAATTCTGGAGACATGTCTAGACATCCTCCAAACATGCCATACTGCAACTCATCAGGTGAAAGGATATCAGTGCCTTCATTGTTTAATATGTCATCAGTACTTACTGCCCTCTCTAGCTTAACTTCACAAATTGGTATATTCTCTGCTGTGTCATTATCCACCACTTTTGATTCATTAAGTTCTCCAACCACTTCATTTTCTGTTCTTTGGTTTGATGAATCTGATAGCTTTTGTGTACTTTCTGCATTAAGATTTTTCTGCAATAAGTGATGTTGATTTTCATCAATTCCACTATTTCTTGTAACAGGTGAATGAGCAATTTTAGATTGTGTTTTAAAAGGATCATCAACTAATCTGGATATGCTATGTCTTTTTGTATTCTTTTGTTTGAACTTTCCAGAACTCTTAGACAACTTTGCATCTTTTGGAGACAGGGGGAAAAAGGTGGCAAAGCTGTTAGCCTTGTTAATGGTTTTAACACTACTTCCAACACAACTTTCTTCTCTATTCTCTTGAGAATTCCTCTTTGGAATGTTATCGTCCATGGATGGCATGCTTTCAGTGAAGCTAGTTGAAAAGTTCAGTTTCTTGTTGGATTTTGTGTCTATGTGGTCACCTGTCTGTGCATCTTTATCTTGTTCTCTCACTGAACATACATCTTGCTCAATAACCAATGGTGATGGTGGATTAGTTTTTCCTGTGAATTAAAAAAAAAGAAAACAAAAGAGATGGCAAGGTATTAAAGCCAGATACACATATTATTCTGAATCAAATTAGCCTACATCATAATACTAAATGGAAATTTTATAATCAAAATAATATATCAGTGCACTTGATCATGTAACTTAGTTGTAAATACTTTTTTGATAAATTTAATCTTTTATTGCTATGGCTTTATCCATGTTTGTATATTAAGAATATATTTTATTTTAATAACATCTAATTTTATTTATTTCTTTATTATATTAATTATTAATTAATTATTTTTTTCATTTTTTGTATACATTTTGTTCATTCATATATACATATAAAATATTTAATTCATTTTTGTATTTAAGTGGTGAATTATCATATGATGTTATATTTATTAAAGAGGGCCCTGAACATCAGCTTCCCTTTGGGGAAGTTGGAGGGGTTGGGGTTACCCTCTTTAAATATTGTTGAAATAAATAAAATAAAAATGTATTTAAAGTAGCTACATCAAATAAGAGACAATAATACTAAAAGGAAACTTGATATCACAAAAATATCTCAGTATGGATTATCATGTATTTAAAACTGAAATTTTAAGTCTTGACTTTTACAGGCAATATACATTAGTGCAATCCCTAAATTTATAATTGTTATTTATTATCACACCAGATTCACAAGGGACAAAACGTTACACTGGACACAAAATATTCATGCGACAACACAAGCAAAGTTACACTTGCTAAAAGTCAATACAATTGCTACAACTTTATTGTTTTTCTTTATTTGCAGGTGTTAATTGTTAACAAACTAGGCCTAAAGTCTAGGTTAGCATGGGTCTATCATTTTCAGAATTTAAGATGAACACCATTTATTAAAAAAATAAATTCGAATTTTGTCTCAATTAACTAAGTACTTTTTATACAGAATAAATGGTTCAATTTCTATTTAAAAAAATAGAATTACAGTTTGTACTAAGTTAACTTTTTTATAAGCTTGGAAATCATTACTTCAATACTGAATTATCTTACCATCTGTGGCTACTGAATCATTCAAGAAGCTTGGCAGTGAGATCCTGATGTTAATGCTCTCATCACCTGGTACCTCTGGGATCACAAGGTTCTTCTCTGAAACATCATCTAGACTGCCATCGATCTTCTCCTTGCTCTCACATAGGTCTGAAATTTCTTGGCTCAAGCCTTTAGATGCATAGCTTGGTTTCTTGTAGTAAATACTAGGTCCACTGTAGTAAAATAAACAGGCATTCTTAGTAACTTGTTGTACTGTGTTTAGGAAACTATGTTGACTAATCTATTGGATAATTCCTTAGATAAGTGCTCATTACTGTAGCTGAAAACATCAGAACAAATGGTATCAAAATTCCTTCACTTAATGTACTAGTATATTAGTTTATGCTTCACCAAATGACCCTTTACAATGTTTCAATCTATGTATACATATTTATATACACAAATATGGGTGCTAAATACATAGAGTTTTAAAAATGAGGTTTAAAGTAATTCAGTTAAGCTGAAATTAAATAATTTTAGGATTCATATCAGATTCAGAGATCCAAGTCATACACCAAAGTTGGCCATCCAAAAGCTACTGGACAGCTCACTGGTTTTTCAAAAATAAACTCTACAAAATAGAAAATATATAATAAAGCAAAGCAAAAAACAAAAAAACAAAAAAACAAAACAAAAAAAACCCCCCCAATTTAACCTAAATCAAAAACTAGTAGTGCCTGATTCAACCTCACTCAGCTTTATACCTTATCTTCCTGTTTTCATAAACATCATCTTCTGATATAATAGATGCGAGAGAGCCTCGGTCTGCAACTGGTGATGTACAATTGCCTAAGGTAGTGCTCAGCATACTGGATGCCCCTAGCAGACTTGAAGTGACACTTCGCAGTGATTCACGGATATTTGCAAATCTTTGCTGAAATGGTGTGAAGTTAGAGCATTTACAGTTACCCCTGGATTTATATAAACTCCTCAAATATGGGTGCTAAATACATAGAGTTTTAAAAATGAGGTTACAAAAGTAATTCAGTTAATCTGAAATTAAATAATTTTTGGATTCATATTAGATTCAGAGATCCAAGTCATACACCAAAGTTGGCCATCTAAAAGCTACTGGACAGCTCACTGGTTTTTCAAAAATAAACTCTACAAAATAGAAAATATATAATAAAGCAAAGCAAAAAACAAAAAAACAAAAAAACAAAACAAAAAAAACCCCCCCAATTTAACCTAAATCAAAAACTAGTAGTGCCTGATTCAACCTCACTCAGCTTTATACCTTATCTTCCTGTTTTCATAAACATCATCTTCTGATATAATAGATGCGAGAGAGCCTCGGTCTGCAACTGGTGATGTACAATTGCCTAAGGTAGTGCTCAGCATACTGGATGCCCCTAGCAGACTTGAAGTGACACTTCGCAGTGATTCACGGATATTTGCAAATCTTTGCTGAAATGGTGTGAAGTTAGAGCATTTACAGTTACCCCTGGATTTCCTTTATGTAATGTCCACATCTTATTAAATGACAATATCTCTGTACGTAGTTCTCTTAAGGCCAAAGTAATCATCCTGATATTAAAAGGCGGCTTTATTATTTGCTAAATTGCGAAATTATTCCATTTGAATTCAAAAAAATTAATTTCTTGTTCACATGCAATTTACAATGTAACTGCATCAATTGTGTTCTTAATTTCATTTAATTTATTTTGTCATTTAAAATTTATTAAAAAATAGAGAAAAATGAAATATTAAAAACACTAGAGAAATAAGAAAAATCATACACCAATATGACAGGATTAACAAAAAAGTAAAATTAATTACTGTCAGGTAATAACTGTCAAAAAAGGTGTATAAAAAATTAAAAATGAAATTTAAAAACAAACAAAAATGTTATAGTTTCTATTTCATTTAAATATATCTATTAAATATTTAAAAAACAGTCCTTTATGCACAGTACATAAACAATAAACATATATATTCAATGAAGGTTAAAAGTAGGTTGATGACCGTTCAAAATATGAATTCTACCTCATATTCCAAGTTTGTGCGGTTTAAGGCGTTGACAGCACACATCAGTAAATGCCTTTCCTTTTGCAATTCTAGCACAGACTGTTGCAGCTCACTGCTCTCCTGCTTTGTCCTCTCTAGCGCCCTCGCCAATGCTGTATTGTTGGCTCTCAGTGTAGCTTTCATGAAAGATGTGCTGGATTCTTAAAAGACGTTAATACAAAATATTTTTTTAACAGTGAAAAAAACAACAGAGATATGACACTTCTAGGCACCGTAAGCATCTTCCTATGGAAGATATACATGCGCTGTGTAATACTCTGATTGATTAATTGATTGATTGACACTGAATTGGACATTTTGTAGTTTTGGGACATTAAAAACTTCAGTGTTTGTAATTTAATTATCATAAATCAGTCTGCAAATCTGGACTGGTATATAATATTTTTGATATCTTTTTGATTATTTTATATTTATGTGAAAAAAAGGCTAATAACAAATTTATGAAATTGTGAATAAATGCTTTCCAATTTGGACAAATGTTGCTTAAAACCTACTGTTATGCCATTTTGACAAGTTTAGTACATCATTCCTTTTTCTTTTTCTTCTTTTATCCTTCAGGATATTCTTTTTCATGTCCTTCACTGTTTTCCTTTCCGGGACAGACTCCAAACTATGGGAAGCCATGTTTACATGCAACCTGAATAGATAAAGAAGTTTAAAACAATTTTATTGCAAACTACACAGAATCTGCTAGTAACTGGCTGTGTATGGCTTAAAATTTAGCCACTCTCACAATATGCCTAAGCCTATTGTATTGTACATATTATTTGGGCCAAGGCCTAGGTGTAGGTACGTGCACTGAATATCGGCTGTTGAGAGCGTGATATCATGGCACCTCTATCATTTTCTGCCAGCAACACAACTGTCTGCACAGCCCTCTATTGTTTTGGCTGCAGAGGTTGTATTTATTTTTTCCCTATGACCCGAATATACTGATGATACTCGTCATCAAACCAATTTTTCCGACTTCGCGAAGTGAGGGAAATTATTGACGAAAGTTTTGGTTGTCAAAAACATGCAATAATATTTCAGAGAAGATAAGTTAGTTAATTTCTAAAACCAGTTAATTTTGTTAGTTTATATATTCAATCACAAATGAGTGTACTTAATATAGTTAATTTGAACACCGAAACCTAGTTTTGTTAATGGAAATTCCTTTGTCTATTGGTAATTAGTTACTTGTAATTAATTAAAATAATTTTATAATATTTAATTAATAAGTTGATCTTGATATCAATATAAATTATAATGCCACATTAATGCTCTTTCAAATGGTACTAGGGCCTAGCTGCAAAGGAGTTCCTTGCATTTGAATTTTTTTGTCATGTACCTACTAGGCCTAGTGGAAAAATAAACAGTAAACAAAAGTATAGGCTAGCTATAGCCTAGGGCATAGTAGTAGTACCTCTACTCTAGGCTACACTAAACTAGGCCTAGAATAGATAGGCTAGATAGAGGCCAATGCTTTATATAAGCCAGGCTAGAGTAGGCCTACAGTGCTAGGCCTCGCCTGGCCTCCCTAAAAAGACGAAGTGGCTAGGCCTACCTAGGCCTAGCTTGCTACTAGCCTATCTGCCAACCAGGCCCTAGCTAGGCCTAGGCCCTAGTAGGCTAGGCCTACCTAAACACTGCTGACTGAACCGTAGAAAGGCATAGTTCTCATTTAAAATAACTACAAATAAATCTTAATAATTTGTGATCGATAAGCCTTTTGAATTTATAATACAAGAACACTACACCTTATAAATCATCAAAATGTGCATGCAAATTCGACGTCGTGTGTTGTGTTGACGGTTTTAAATTTTGTCCTTTAAAATAAAATCACATGCTGATTGGCTGTTACCTGACCTTTAAACTCTCAATCAAGCGAATTTCAAGCAAGCGGTCGGTCATGACAACATGACAACCACCAACATTGGGTTGAGTATGTGATGATGGAAGAAGTGTGAATGATTGATTGGTGTTATAACTCGTACAGGCGATCAACTACTAGGCCAAGTAAGGCTAGTATAAGTACTGTAGGCCCACTACTATGTGAATTTCGTCTTTTCAAACCTAAGTCTTATCAGTATTGATGGTCAGTCGTACAGAATGGTGAACATGGATTCTTCTACTACTACTAAAGTTTCTAAAAGAGTTGCTCGGAAAATGTAAGTTTACTACCTTGTGTAACTTAAACTTGTATTTTTGGTTGTTCTTTATTTTCCTCCATTATGTCATAGGTCTTGTTCAATTCAAGTGACAGCATTGTGACTGCTTGCAAGTATTATTATGTGAATTATATAATCGACCTAGCTCTTAATTACATGTGAATTTCTTTTTTTTGTTTTTTTTTTATATTGGGTGACTATTTTACGGATTAAGGTTCTGCAAGGTGGACTTATATTTTTTAGGGCATAAGGCGCTGTTTCATCCTAAAGTCTGGGGGAGGGGTGCAAAAAAATTGAGAATGCAGAATGGGGAAAGAGGTGTGCCATAAAATAAAGAATGCAGAACTGGGGAAGGGGGTGTGCAAAAATTGAGAATGCTGAACTAAATAAATCCCTATTTCCAATGAAAATTTAATGATCATTTTTAGTAGGTGGAACTTCTGTTGCCATATGGGTGGGGGTCAGGAGGTTGCATCCATCCCCCACCCCTATCCTATGCCATGCTTAATAAAATATTTGATTGCTTAAACTTTTTTCTTTAATTAAAAGTAACTCTCTCATTAATACGAGGCGGATCCAGGATTTCAAGGAAGGGGGTTCAGAAATTTCCTAAAAAAAAAAAAGAAAGCGGGTGGGGAGGGGAGGGGGGTGCACTCCCCCGGGAAAATTTTGATTTAGGGTCATTCCATGTCAAATCACCCAAAAAATCTGAAAATTTTAACCACATATTTTTTGATTTTGATGAAACTTGGTGTACTTGTTTAGTGTGATCTCACAGCATCAAATCTCAAATTTTAGGTCAATCGGTTGAGGGGTTTGGGAGCTGTCTCTTATACACATCTAGATGTGTATAAGAGACAGGTATACATACTTCACATATACGAGGCGGATCCAGGATTTCAAGGAAGGGGGTTCAGAAATTTCCTAAAAAAAAAAAAGAAAGCGGGTGGGGAGGGGAGGGGGATGCACTCCCCCGGGAAAATTTTGATTTAAGTTCTTCAAAATTCAAGGTTTGCCCTCTCTTGAAAAAGGTTAGGTAATTTTATCTCATTCTTAGGCCTATTACATAGAGAAAAAAATAAAAGACATAGGAAATTATTATATTCCAACAATATTGTGTAGTTGGATACGTAGTCTTTCCTCCATGGATCTGTAAGCCTGAAAAACGCACTTTCGTACGTAAATTATTACGACTCCTCAAACCATAAAAAGTGTTTGTTAAATTTATTTAATTGAAGGTAGTTGGGATAAGCTTAGTTTGTCTGATCTGCCACCTATGCCCAGGTAGGTTAGCATGCCTTTTGTAAGCCAGGACCCATTAGTATTTTGTTACATTTCTTCGCAGAAGGGGTTCGTCCAAACCCCTGGAACCCCCCCCCCCGGATCTGCCACTGTTAATTTTCATGTAAAATAATAATCTTGCTTATATTTCAGAAATCATTATTTGAACAAAGAGAGAGTTGAAAGCGAGTATGATCCATCTGGAAATGGACTGCACACAACAAATCCCTTAATGGTAATCAGCTTCTTTAATTAGTCTAGGACTACGTTATTTTGAATGACACTCATGATGTCATTTTTTTCTTAGCTAGCCAGGCACTCACTGCAGCCTGACGGTCATTGGCCGCCCCGTTTCTATGAAGAATGCCACGGCACGTGCACGATGGACAGTGGCGTATCTAGAAGTCTTGAAATGGAGGGGCTGATGGGGGGAGGGCGCGAAGGTGTGAAGCGGGGGGCTTGATGATCAGTTGAGGAGCACTATTTCGATTGCCAACTTTATGCAAATTTTTTTTTAATTCTTTCGATCCTTACCAAAATAATCACTATTATCATCATCATCATCACTATCATCATTATCACTATTATAATTATTATGATTATTATTATTATTATTATTATTATTATTTTTGCTATTTTTATTAATAGGTAGTAAATTTAGCCAGTAGTACACCTATTCACACTCAAATCCTCAAAGTTTTAGCAGTGAATGTGAAATAAACGCTTTTTTTATTATTATTAATGTTAAACTGTTGTAATTAATAACTATTAATTTGTTATTACTATTAATAAATAGTGATACCTGGATCTATCAATCTTATTGATTTAATTATTTAAAAATTGTGTAATATAATGTTACTTTAATTCCACTTTCAGGCTAAGTATGAATTGGCATATCTAGTAACCACTGAGGATAAAAATTTGAAGTCCCTCCAGAAGGAAAAGGATCAAAGTTCAGATAGCCAGATGTTAGTTTTACCGTGCTTAGTTCCATCAGCCCAATGCAAGAGTCATGTTCGAAAGTCGGATGCAAAAAGGGTTACTGTTGCGGCCAGAGAGATCATTGTAAGTCATTTCTCATTGTTCCTGTTTATTAATGTTTTAAGAAAGTATATTTTTGTAGATAATGAAGAATTATTATTTCTTTTGAATGTAACCGACAACTCTGGCAAAACCAGCCGTTGGTAGGAAAAATTCAAAATTGAGTGTTGGTTTTTTTGCGATTCTGCATGAATTCTTCTTTAAAACAGTGTGTATTTGATGTTAATTGGTTGAGTATTAGTGAAGTTATGAATGTTTAATTCATTGGATCAGCAATGTAGGTTTTGAGAAAACAGCTTCCAAAGATTCCAAAATCAATAGTTTATGTGTTTTAAAATATAATTTTAATATAATTTTCAATTATATTTAGTGACAGATATTTTTTAGAAATGTTCTTCAGCATATCTTCTTTTATAATATTGGCATACAAAAACCTGAAAATGTTAAAAATTCTGATTCTCGAATGTTTTGGAGTGCTTGTGGGAAATTAGTAATTGTGACAAATGGCAGGTTTTGCCAGAGAGTGATTTGACCCTATTTAATTTCACATGCTTTTGTCTGAACTAAGAACAACATTTTAAAGCAAACAAAAATTTGCAAGTGCCAGATGAAATTGGGTATGTGTAAACATGTCCATAATTAATTTTGCCTTGACACGATGTGAAAATTTCACCTGTAGAACATCTGTTCTGCACAAAGCTATAACACATTTTTATTGCAACAATAAACAAAAAACTGAACAGATCTATTCAAAAATTGATGACAGATCATACTGTACAACCAATGAGAGAGTGGCATAGATGAAATTAGCATATGCAAGCAATATCTACCCAAGATAAAATAGCATCTTCATATGATGATTATGATGATGACATTTTTATTCACAATTCTGAAGTCTTAAATTTTCGTTTTACTTATATCAATATCATGTTTTTTATCAGTTACTCTAGATGAATTCAAATCCTTAAACCATCCAGTATGCAAACAATTCTTTTAGAATATGCATCCTATTGCTTACAAATTATTACCATCTCCATGGTAATTTTAGTTATTAAATGCATAACAACATTTACTTAATAATAACTATGTTCCACTTAGGAATAGCCAATATAACTGAATAAGCAATTTTTATGGGATTTTTATGTATAAATTTATTTTTGGTCTATTGTTTAGGCTGTAATTTTAATATACAATACCATATTTTCTAACATGCTTATTTCTTTAATATGTACTTTGTGGCATATTCTAACTTCATTCATGCCACCCATAAAACTCTAAGAACAATTTTGATGGATTATTAATTAAATTATATTCACTGTAACAGCAGTTAAATTGGCTTTAAACATTGCATACACGTAATATACTGTAAACACTAAAGAAGGTGTAACCATGGAGGTATTATTGAGAAGGAGATCACTTGAAAAAGCTACGCGCACGCAGTGCTATGCAAATGAACCAAGATCAAAGCTGCCGCAGCGCGTGAAGAACGTTTGCGCGATGCCTTTGAAGTCCCATTTGTTCCCCGCCATCAAATTTTCAGCAGGCATAGTTTACCAAAAAATTGAACATGGCGAAATGGAGAGCACCTTCTTTTCTCGATGCGCACTACATACAGTCAATCACTATGACTGCGCAATCGTTTCCATTTTGAAGCTGATACATTTATCTCTCATAAAATATCAAACATATTAATATTTTCCACCAAAAAAAGTTTCGAATTTAATGGAACATTTGCATGACCTTTAAAAGTATAGTATATTTCAACTTCAATTTCCATAAATTGGCCCAAATTCTCTAATTCTAATTTTAACAGATATTAATTAATAAATGATTGAGGATTATATTAAACTAAGTCATTTTAGAGTTAACGATGGTTAACTATTCGAAAAATCAATCCAAAATCTGAGTATTTTTCAGTTTTACACTGACTTAGCTTTATAGTCGAACTAATCAATCTTTAGACAAAATTATAATGAACACAGAAGTAATTTTAACATAAATATTTTACGGAATCCGTTCCTGAAATAAACAAATAATAACATACCAAAAGTCCGAAAAAATCTAATCAGGGGAACACTGTTCATTATAAAGATATATAATGGGTTAAAATCAAACGCTTTATTGCACAACTGCTCTGCTGGAAGCGTATAAATGCATGTCGTTGCCAAGTTGTTGCTATCGAAAAAATGTGAATTATAGGGTAATACACCCGCGCGCGATGCAAAAGCGGGGAATACATGGGTTTGTCGCATCAAAGGGATCTGTTGCCAAGTGATCGCCTTCTCAATAATACCTCCATGGTGTAACAGTGGCAAAAAACCCATAAGGTAATAAAAAATAACTTTGATTCCTCAATGTCATTACCCACCAGTGTGCACTTCCTAGAAACTGACATCTGCTGAAACAAATAACAACCTTAGCAATACAATGTATGTTGTGTTGAACACTTTATATGTACAAACTATTTAAAAAAAATCCATTAGCCTATTGTAAGATAAAAATAGTTTATTTTTAATTAATACTTTATAAAAGATATGTAATATTATAATACTGTATAAATTAGTATTATTATTATTTATTAATGTTTAAATTATTATTATTATTACCAGAACTACTAGTATTATTACTAGAATTATTGTTATCATCATGATTATTATTATTAAAATATTTAACAATGAAAAATTAGTAATTTAAAGCCTTTATTTGATATTAAATACTACTGTATTTAAAACTGCTTTATATTTAATTGTGTGCTTGCTTTAGGAAGGGAATAAAAAAAAAAACGCTCAGCACAGACCTCTTCCTTCTGTAACGTCCGTGAATTATCTATAAAACACAGTGAGCATGCACTTGGAAATGCTAGACAGCCAGTGAACATGTGCATTGAGTAAGTGACGTTATCAAGCCATGTTTGAGCATGCGCAGTTACCAAAAAGACGTGAACCAAATAGCGACTGCGAAAGGGTACAGTATGATTACCAAAAAATTGTTTGAGGAACCAAACAGCGGCTGCGAAGAGGGTATGAAATAGAAACAGGAAAAAATAAAACTTTACATGCAACAATTGAGCATGCGCAATTCAGCTAAAGCGATCAGGTTACAGTATGGATGGAAAATAATGTGAACTCAAGCAGTTCGAAAAGCCTGAAATCTGTAAACCACAAGGTTGCTCCCCAATCAAGATGTATTCCAAGCATCAAGAGGATATCCAAACGAGCATTTGTCATAGTAGAACGTAAACCATTTTTAATTAGTCCCATTGAGGGGAGGGGCATTCGTATTTTTTTTATTTCAATACATAACATTAATATGCACTGACATTTTAAAAATAGTGTCAAAACGCTGTTTTGACACTTGACACTGTTCGGCTGACTTACGTTCCAATAGATGTTTGAACGTAATTAATTCATTGTGAAGAAGAATGAATAAATGTTGTTTCATGGGCTTAATTCAAAGTAATATATACGGGCCGGTAGTCGGATAACTTACAATAAAACGGCACATGAATTTATGTTATTATATAATTATTATTGTTGTTGTTGTTGTTGTTGTTGTTGTTGTTGTTGTTGTCGTTGTTGTGATGAAAAGTTAACACAAACGGTACACAAATAGGTCAATAAAGGCGATATGGTTGCTAAACGAACAGACATGTAAACATTTTTTTTTTTTTTAATTCCCTGACGGGATGTATTCGTCTTCCCTGACGGGGGAGGGGGGTTGCTAGGCTTCCCCGACGAGGGGGCTATAGCCCTCTATAATGCCACCACTGCATGAATGGCAAAACAAACAAGGAAAAACAACGTAAAAGATTAAGAGATGAGATCGATATTTATTGGGGAAGAGTGAAATGGTGCAACACAGCAAAAGAGAAAGATTTATTTGGCATCGACATCCTCAGACATTTTTCCAGCAGTGGACCGACAATAGCTGATGATGAAGCCTCTGAAGGTTATCAACATAGTTAACTTACCACACACCCTGGTCAGTCAACAACAGTGAACAAAAATAATGTTAAATATAGAAATAAATAATAAAATAATCAAAATCAATGTCAAAATATAGGCCTATTACAATTAAAATCCAAATAGAAGAATTGAGGCAATCAATATGGTAAATTATATGTCATGTAATAACAAAATTCACACATAGGATAAATTTAGAATTAGCTGTATAAACAAATTGAATAAGCTAAAGATATTGTGGCGTTTTTTTATAGGAAATATTTCTTGTAATTATAGATAAAATAGTGACTGTTGTTAGGCCCAATAAAAAATGATCCGAATCATCTAATAGTATTGGCCAAAACATTTTGGGGAACAAAAATGAATTTAAAAAAAAATCTTGTTTAGTAATAATATATTGCTTGTATTATCTCAATCATGTATTTTACTTTGAATATTAATGCACCAGCAAACAATTTAAGGGTGATATTTGGTTGTATCAAAATAGAAAAATAAAAATATAAAGCCTCTCTCCCTCATCACTTTTCCAGCCTAGATAGGGTGATAAACTATTCTTTTTTTTTTCAGGTCGTACTGTCTAGCTATCCTCATTTTCCACATCATTCAAGAAGTTAGACTTTGGAAATTGAGCCACTATAAATTCATTAATTAAAGATTGAAAATAGTCTAATTAGGGTCTTGAAATAAATACATAAATAGAAAAACTCTTGTTGATACTCAACAACCATTGTTCATTGCTAAAAATATTACATTGTTAGTTTCCATAGAGATGAATTATTGATTGGCGATGGCAATTTATCAATGCTTTCTACATCATTAGATAAATTATAGCAGTTGTAAACTCAGCCAATAGTTCTTAAAAGACAGTAAACAACCTATCCTCATTTGCTTTCAGGGTAATAAACTATAACCTTGAAAGCAACTACACATATTAATCAATTTTAAGTAGGAGCTGAAGATACTTTTGTGGCGCTCAGGCAACGTAATTGCTTGTTGATTATTGATTGAAAAACTTGCATATTTTTATTGCTGAACAATTTATATAGAATTGAAACAATAAAAAGGTTGTATAAGTTTGAACATTTTTTAATATTTGGATGAGTATTAGTATAATTTATTTGTCATTGTAAAATATTCATATTGAAGTACAATTGCAGGGGTCCACTCATAAATAAATAAACAGAAATAATAAAACAATGTCAGGTAATAAACTATCCCCCACTGACTAACTATATAACTAATAATATAACAAGTAATATAGAAATAATTACTGCTTATGCTGAACTAAATTTACCAAACATGAATATGCATGAGTGCCACAAATATATTTTCGTGACCTACCACCTAAACCAGGAAACTTTTTCTTTATCAATCATTAATTTTTTTTTACGAGAGTGTGTGGGTTGATAATTTTATGAAAAAATGGAAAAAATATGATAAAAAATGTCATTGACGTGCTCTTTGCAGAGACCCTTAATTGGCTGAGAAAATTTTTTTATTAGCAAAAAGTTGGCAAAAATTGAATTTTCTTTTTGGAAGCTGTTGATTATTATGATCCTTTGAAATAACAATTCAATGTTTTACTGTACATTTAGGATTTTTTTTCCTTCATTTTTTTACACTCAGAGACATTACAGTATGTATGTCAAGTTGGTTAAGTTATTAACGAAAACATTAATACCACCTCAAATTATGTAGCAATGAACGAAGATAAACAGTGATGCATTGTCATAGATGTATAATGCAATACATCATGTGAAATGTTTACAAAATGTTATCAATTTATTGAATTTATTTACTTTAATTCCACCAGAATTCCTTGCCAGTGAAAGAAATTGATATGATTCGTAGATATCGACCCTCTTGCCGAGCAACGGACACTATCGAAAATGTAAGCTCTTATTAACTGCCTGTCATTCATTATCTATACAACTTATGTCAATACAAAACTCATTGTGAAATTTTTATGTTTTTTTTTTTTTTTTCTTCAAGGGCAAAGTCTCCCAGATGTCAAGGAGTGTCCATGCAATGCTGAACACTAAAGAAGCTGTTGATTTTGCTGTTAAACATGGTACAGTATAAATATTAAATAAAATATATAGGATAATTAAAACCAATAAATGTCTTAATTAAATATTAACATACTAAATATCATTAAAAACTAGGGGTTTCTCAGGATGCTGCAGGTATATGTATCAGTTATGTTTTTTAATATTACTTATTTTCCTTCTCCAACAAAGTATGTTGAAATGCATTAAAGATTGACTGATTTAGGCTTGTTCCATACTTATGCTTGAAATGTTAAATATGTTGCTCTTTGCAGCATAAACACAGTAGCCTAAAATATTCTTCTAAAAAATCTTTATATTCAGATAAGAAAACACAGAGGATGCGGTCGAAGTCTGCCCATCAATTGAGAAGGTCCTCAATTACGTCAGCAGATGGAATGCAGTCTTCCCGCAGTAGCAATTATCAGCATAAAATGGATTCCTCGGTGAAATTGCGGAAAAAGAAACTAAGACAGAGATACACAGAGCTACCATTCGGTCCGGGAAACAGTTCACACATCGCCACATGGCTCAGGTACTTAAATAGGAATTATGTTTTTTCACTTGTTGCTTTAAAGCAGCGAAGATAGGCGTTTTTACTTACATATACATTAAACACTGTATGAAATTCCAGACCGAACAGTATTTTTCAGTACCCTGGTATTGGATATCAAGTCATATGTCCACTTGTTCCAGTCGCAACTACAGTATATGGCTCTGTGTACAGCCAGATGTTGTAGCACTACTCTGTGCATAGCCAGTACTTGCAAAAGTACATCGATACCATAAAAGCCTCGAATAGAAGCCTGGGCTTCTTCTTTTTTTTTTTTTTTTTTGCGAACTTTGAATGGGCTTCTTATCGAGGGGCCTTTTTTCAAGGCTGATTTTGCAAAGTAAAGAGGGGGGGGGGGCTTCTTTTCAAAATGAATGGAGAGTTGATTGGCCGAGCGGTTAAGTCAGGGGCACTGTAACCTTCAGCTCTAATATCGGCGCTGGTTCGAACGACTCACTCGCCAATGGTTCCGGTGGTGGAACAAGTCTTCTCTGATAAGGACTTTAAACCATAGGCTCAGTGTACACATTTGGCTCGTGTGCACTTTAAAGAACTCAGTACATCCTTTGAGAAGAGTAGGGGGTTACCCCGGTGTACTGGTCCATTAAGTCCCCTGTTGTTAAATGGATATGCCACATAAGACAGTGATTAAGTTCACATATTGGCATATCCTTGGCGCTCATGCCTAAAGAAATGAAATGCTGTATATGGGAATTACTATTAAATATAAAACAATAATAGGGCCACTATAATATTAGTCTATCATGGAGTGTATTAACCGGCATAAAATCACCTAAGCTACTGTGTAAACCAAGCACGATTGATTTATTTTGTTTCTTTGAAATTCATGTACCGTACTATCTCTAAAAGAAACCCATGCTATCTTGAAAAGTAACCCATGGGCTTCAATTTAAGATATGCTTCTCAAAATTAAGGCTATTGGGCTTCTATTCGGGGTTTTACTGTAATCTGTGCACAGCCAGTCTTTCAGTGTAACTTTGTGTACATTCAGTTCTGTAGGATGACTATGCACAGGCAGTTTTTGAGCACAGCTAGTATTTGCTACAGTACTGTACATGACTGCATAATCAGTTCTGTCAACATGATTCTGTCCAAAGCCAATACTTACAACATATTTTCAGAATTGTTATATATGTTAACATAAATAATTCACTTGTTTTTTATTTTTGTATTGCAGTGAGCAAAGGATGAAAGATATAAAAGCAATGAAGAATAAAGAAAAACAGAAGAAAAGAGCAGAAAAAGAGGCTGAGATTGAAAAAGAAAGAAGAGACAAAGAGGAGATTACCACAGCAATGGAATCACTACAAATTGATGTTGCAAAATCAAATGATAAGGATGAAAAGAACAATGCGAATCACATTGAAGAATCAAATGAGAATGGAAGAAAAGGAAGAAGCAAAAACAGAAAACATGAAAAGCACAAAGACAAGAAAAGAAAGGAAAAAGTTGGGGACAATTTCTCCTCATGCTCATCAAGAACAAACCCAGAAGACGAACTGGATGATGTCAAGCATCTGCAAGAGAAATCTGAATTTGGATGTAACAGCAGACACGATGCAGAGGAAAGTAGTGGTGGAAAAGTGGATCCTAAACATGAAAATGATAAATGTGATATTAATCAGGAGTCAACTGACACTAAATGTGAGTTAGTAAAAGAGCCAATCACGGAAACTGTACATGATGTGGAACCAATGAAAGTGGCCTTAGAAGATACTGATTCTCATAATAAAACCCAAGGACCAGATGAATCTATTGTGAATGCCAGCGAGAAAGAGAAAGATCATAAGGAAGAAAATATTGAGAAAGAGAAAGATCATAAGAAAGGAAATATTGAAACAAAGCATATGCCAATGAAGGCTTCTTATAAAGACAGTGAAAAAGATGAAAATAGGTCGATTGACACTAACGTTGATAGATCAAAAGGGGAGAGTGGTCAAGCGAGTGTAAAAACTGTTGAATATGCAAGAACTGAAAGCATGGTGTCTCTTCCAAGATCATGATAAAAGAAGGGTTAACACAAAAGGTCACTGTTGTTCAATTCAATAAAGAAAATAACTTCATTAACACTGTAATTTGACAAATATGTGATTTTCTTTTTAATTAGAACAAAAAAGAACTTACTGAAAAGTATCTTTAAATAACAATAATTAATGTTGTTGATTGCTACTGTACATCAAAATACAATGCCGTAATTGTATAATGATTTCACTAGGATCACAAACAATAATTAATTAAATTTACATTGTGATATTTTATAGCAAGAATTCAGTTGATGTTGTATTACGTTTACGTTGAGTACTTGAAGTGGTCCCTCAGTTGGGACTTGACATCGAGCAAAAAAACTGCTTAGTGTGCATGACGCGGGCAATGGACGTGACACAGGAAAAGTAAAATTGGTTCGAGTACAACTTGACTTCTCCATTAAATATGTTGTGGGACGGACCTCTTGAACTCATGGAAGGATTGTTCAGTGAGGGCTCAACCAGGGAGATGCAGAGTGATTTACACCAGTTCCTGTTGATCTAGAGTAAATAAAAATCACCTATTTCTATTAATTGTGGAGTGGATGTTTAGTTGGCAGAATGCCTATTAATTAACATAGCATGTATGTGGTGATTAGACTGCAGGGCTCACTTCAACCCTAATCATAAGGATAGGCAATTTTAAGTTATTGTCGCCAAAAAGAACAAAAAAAAAAAAACACTTTGTTAAATGCATTGAATTCTCTTTGGTTTGATGTTTTTTTTTTTAATACATGATTGACAACAGATGTAACGATCATATAGAATATGGTCAGTATTTGAATTGTGTGGGTATTGAAATATGTAGCACTTTAGAGACTATTAAACATAAGTTGCCATGTAAAAGCTAGTTACTTAACATTTATAGCAAATACAGTATTACAGTACTGCTCAGACTAGCCCCATTCCTACAAACTACAAGCCAAGAGCCCTGCATGTCAGGTAGAGCTTTTCTTTATGGATTTCCTGTATTCTTAAAGCTACATTTACACTAGACACGACAACGACATAATCATCGCGTCGTTTATACTCTTCAACACATATTTATCGTGTCGTTGTGTTGTTATTGTGTCTAGTGTAAATGTAACTTAAAGTACACACAATTTACTTTAAACTGATCCTATGGTTTTTAGTCCTTATCTGAGAAGACTTAGTTGAAAAGTTGAAAAAAAAAAAACAATCATGGAAGTATAGAAATATTTTTATACCTTCATGCTGATATTAAGGCTGTAGGCTGTGGCGCTCATGCATTTATCTACCCTGGTACTCAAATTGCGCTATTGTACACATTTAGGTTAGTGTTTCATAAATATGTCTGTACAAGTTATGTTTCATGTACAGTTGATGATTATCAAAAACAGTGTTATTTATACCTCTAAAGCTTGAACACCGTACACATCAGTTTCTTTTGACAATATTAACTTTCTAAATAGATACTAGGCCTACAGTATATACTATTAAAATTTTAGGCTATAAAATAACAAGTTGTAAACAGTGCTAGGCTAAGTCTTAAATGATATTTCTGATATCACTATAAATATCACATTCTGGTTATTTTTATAGAAAATGTAGAAATTTATATATATGTAACTTATTTATTTATATATTAATATTATTGGAATTGACCTTTGACATGAAAGGTCATAAGATACATAATATATGCTGTCTGTGTTGCGCTATGACTGAAGAATAAATTCAATACTGGTATTTGAATTTCTTGTTTGCTTTGTATTTATTTAATCATCAGCGAGTTTGTTATTGGGGCGAGTTTACAGGGGAAACTTCGTGCATTCAGGGGCGAGATTGCAAGTGGCGAGTTGATAAGGAGGATGGACTAATGTTTTTGTCAAATGTATATGCATAGATAAATAATACCTGTGTATTTATCATGTTATAGAGTATAGTATTTTTAATCCATACACAGGGAGCTGGAAAAATATTTTGAATTTTTGTTATTAATAGCCAAATTTAAGATTGTTAATCACAAAAACAAGAAGGATTATCAATATATATATATATTATATATATATATATTGTTTTTATTATATTATTATTATTATTCAACATATTTATTCAGGATACATATTCAATGAAAGTAAATGTAAGGATCTTGACAAAGCATACTAAAATCTACCGTATGGTCCTGATTGAAACAAAAATTTGATATCAATGGACGATAAAATTATGAAAATAAGGACTAATGAATACAATACTTAATATTACAGTAAAATACCTACACGGAAAGTAATTCAATTAAAACATGTCTAAAATGTGTTTAAAAATGTAATTAAAATTTTAAAATGTATTTAAAAAATCAATAGAAATATAAAAACAAGTTAAGAATCGATCAGTAATTCTCCACGCAGGTAATAACAAAATTGTGTAATTGCAGTAAAGTATTATAATTATTACCATATAAAATTATAAAACTGAGAATTTTAATATAATTTTGCCTTTTATCGATGAATGAACATATTTATACCAAAATTAGCCGACGTTTGGATTTGGCGATTTTTGGTTAATGAAATCTTAAACACTCATGCATTATAACAAACTGCTATTTTGACTAGGCTTAACAGGTATGACATACATATCTATTGTAGCTCCATGAATTTGAGAAGGATATACGCCTAGGACGTAGGCATTGAGCACATCAATAAACAATAGTGTATAATAGTGGGCTTGGTCGCACCTCTACCGACATAGTTTATGTAGGGCGCTCTGTAAATGTTAAATGTATATTGGCATAAATCATTGACTGGCCAGAATAAAGGTAGTAAATAACTGCCAGTAATTTCAAAGTAGTCTGGCTAATTTAAAATATGAAGATAAAATTAAAACTGCAGGCCTATAGCAGGCTACTGCATTAATTACATATAAATACGTATCGGTAAAATGAAATAGTTATAATATAATGCCTGGCATGAATTTTCGGAAAGGAAAATAACAATGCTTAGAAAATAAGAAAATTCGGCTTCTAGCACCGTAACCGGTGGACGACGGTAAAATAACCGTATTATAAAACCATATAAACGTGGCATCGGTCTAATAGAATATTATGATGATAATGATGATCACGTGTATGGCCTTCATTAATATTATCGAAAGTCACTGTCAGATAAAGCCTTAAGCGAATTAACTACCTTAGTCCACCATCAAAGATGAAATTAAGGCTGTAGGCTGTGGCGCTCATGCATTTATCTACCCTGGTACTCAAATTGCGCTATTGTACACATTTAGGTTAGTGTTTCATAAATATGTCTGTACAAGTTATGTTTCATGTACAGTTGATGATTATCAAAAACAGTGTTATTTATACCTCTAAAGCTTGAACACCGTACACATCAGTTTCTTTTGACAATATTAACTTTCTAAATAGATACTAGGCCTACAGTATATACTATTAAAATTTTAGGCTATAAAATAACAAGTTGTAAACAGTGCTAGGCTAAGTCTTAAATGATATTTCTGATATCACTATAAATATCACATTCTGGTTATTTTTATAGAAAATGTAGAAATTTATATATATGTAACTTATTTATTTATATATTAATATTATTGGAATTGACCTTTGACATGAAAGGTCATAAGATACATAATATATGCTGTCTGTGTTGCGCTATGACTGAAGAATAAATTCAATACTGGTATTTGAATTTCTTGTTTGCTTTGTATTTATTTAATCATCAGCGAGTTTGTTATTGGGGCGAGTTTACAGGGGAAACTTCGTGCATTCAGGGGCGAGATTGCAAGTGGCGAGTTGATAAGGAGGATGGACTAATGTTTTTGTCAAATGTATATGCATAGATAAATAATACCTGTGTATTTATCATGTTATAGAGTATAGTATTTTTAATCCATACACAGGGAGCTGGAAAAATATTTTGAATTTTTGTTATTAATAGCCAAATTTAAGATTGTTAATCACAAAAACAAGAAGGATTATCAATATATATATATATTATATATATATATATTGTTTTTATTATATTATTATTATTATTCAACATATTTATTCAGGATACATATTCAATGAAAGTAAATGTAAGGATCTTGACAAAGCATACTAAAATCTACCGTATGGTCCTGATTGAAACAAAAATTTGATATCAATGTACGATAAAATTATGAAAATAAGGACTAATGAATACAATACTTAATATTACAGTAAAATACCTACACGGAAAGTAATTCAATTAAAACGTGTCTAAAATGTGTTTAAAAATGTACCGCAATTAAAATTTTAGAGTGTATTTAAAAAATCAATAGAAATATAAAAACAAGTTAAGAATTCGATCAGTTCTCCACGCAGGTAATAACAAAATTGTGTAATTGCAGTAAAGTATTATAATTATTACCATATAAAATTATAAAACTGAGAATTTTAATATAATTTTGCCTTTTATCGATGACTGAACATATTTATACCAAAATTAGCCGACGTTTGGATTTGGCGATTTTTGGTTAATGAAATCTTAAACACTCATGCATTATAACAAACTGCTATTTTGACTAGGCTTAACAGGTATGACATACATATCTATTGTAGCTCCATGGATTTGAGAAGGATATACGCCTAGGACGTAGGCATTGAGCACATCAATAAACAATAGTGTATAATAGTGGGCTTGGTCGCACCTCTACCGACATAGTTTATGTAGGGCGCTCTGTAAATTTTAAATGTATATTGGCATAAATCATTGACTGGCCAGAATAAAGTAAATAAATGACTGCCAGTAATTTCAAAGTAGTCTGGCTAATTTAAAATATGAAGATAAAATTAAAACTGCAGGCCATAGCAGGCTACTGCATTAATTACATATAAATACGTATCGGTAAAATGAAATAGTTATAATATAATGCCTGGCATGGTTTTTCGGAAAGGAAAATAACAATGCTTAGAAAATAAGAATTTCGGCTTCTAGCACCGTAACCGGTGGACGACGGTAAAATAACGGTATTATAAAATCATATAAACGTGGCGTCGGTTTAACTCCATGATAATAGAATGATGATAATGATAATCGTCTATGGCCTTCATTAATATTATCGAAAGTCACTGTCAGATAAAGCCTTAAGCGAATTAACTACCTTAGTCCACCATCAAAGATGAACCAATATAGTTCGAAATATAGAATCAATAATGGCTTAAGTCCGCTATAATGATGAGGATATGGGATATCCATCTGAGTTGGGTAAAACGATTTCCTCAAGCGGTTTTTTAACCGTTAGTAATATTATATTCATATAATTTATAATTTCAAAACAAAATTTAATGACAAGAAAAATCGACGTTTCGGGTCCATCATGGAACCATTCTCAAGATCAAGTAAATTTAAAAAAAAACTAAAAACAAAAATACCAAGCAGTGACGAAGTAAGTAATTAATTTACATATCAATAGGGCCTACTGTGTGGAGCCATAGTATAGAGCAGAGCCTTCTTAGCAGATTAAACAGTTTGGATTTGACTGAACTTTGGATCAAAGAACTGAAACCTAGGCCTGGCCCTAAACTTTAACAAACAAATTCAGTCAAAGCCAAACTGTTTATCTAGTTAATCTGCTAAGAATCCGGGACTAATTATTGCTTAGCTCACACAGTAGGCCCTATTGATATGTTAATTAATTACTTACTTCCTGTCACTGCTTGGTATTTTTGTTTTCAGTTTTTTTTTCAATTTACTTGATCTTGAGAATGGTTCCATGATGGACCCGAAACGTCGATATTTCTTGTCATTAAATTTTGTTTTGAAATTATATAGTAAGCGTCTCTTAATTCGTAATATAATTTATAGTTCGATAAAAGATGACTCCAAAATTGGCAGGCATATTTCTTTAGTTAATCATCTCGATGTAAAAATAAATAGAGGCAATTATACTTGTGGCCTTGATCTGTAATTTATTACTGTCAGTGATATGGTAAATCATATTTACATGACAGCTTCGGAACCAACAAAAAGGTGTCCCCTGCGGTTGGTCGTAGTGTGTTGAAAGATACTTTCCATCCTTTTGTTGCCGAAAAGGTTTCCCTATTATAGGGGTGTCTGCTTAATATGAGTGTCTCAAAGAAGGGGTTCTATAGACTGTATTTGACAAACAACTTATCATAGGTATTTGCCCATAAATACGCCTTATTATGGTTCTGCATATAAATACTGATGGCTTAATTGTTATAAGTTAAATCAGAGAGGTATAAAGATGAGGATGGATCCATGGACGTTTCTGATGATCAATTATGAAAATTTTACCGTTACCTTATATTTGCGAGCGTAGCTAGTAGTTTGTATTAAACTCATTTGCAAAAATATTGGCATAAGCTGATAGAGTATCATTTTTACTACAATATTATTTATATTAAGTTCATGTGATGTATTACATTTATTCCGAAAAGAGACAGAGACATTTTGAGATTCAACGTTTCGATCTATTTGATCATTTTCAAGAATAATGATGAGAAAATCTCACCCATCCATATATGTTTACAATATTTACAAAAGTATAACAGAAAGCAAATAAAAACCGACCAATCAGATTAAAATCAAAGTTATAACTAGCCAATTAAAAACGAGGTAATTAAAAATGAGGTGTGTCTTACATTAAGTATATCACTTATTATTGTGAATAAACAATCAATAATCAACAATTATTCAACAATAGAATAGAAGCCTGGGAATGCTGGCTGAATGAAAGTCTCATGACATGAAATAAAC